AGACTGAGTAAGAATGTCCTGAAAATTTACCGCTTTACGTTTGGTTATAAAATTTTCTTTAGAATTAAGAAGTAACTTTTGAATCCGTTGAGTATTTTTTTTCATTGTATTCATTACAATAATTCTTCATACGTACGTTTCTGCTCACTGTTATTTTATTATTTCCAACATTTTACATAATTTTGTTATTGATCCATCAATTATTTTTGTCTGTAAATAATATTCTATTTTGTTAATATACAGTTCCATTTTGGTTACATTTAGAAAAGAAGCACCAATTAAAGTATATTTAAATACTGTATTTGTACTTATTTTGTAATGTAGGATCAATATTTAAGTTAAAATAACTCGAGGCTAATTAAGATTGTTTAAAAAATGTCCTTATATTTTTGTACTTTTTCACAATTTCAAAGTAACTTTGTTTATATTTGAATGCATCATATTTTCTTAATTGTAAAATAATAATTTTTCTTGTGTTATATTTATGTTTACTGTAACTTTTTTTATTGTTTACATTTACCTTGTTTACTTGTCGTCCAATTAGTTTTTGTTGTAGATAATATTGTATTTTGTAAATAAAATGATATGGGCAGTTCAATTTATGTTGGAAGTTAAAAATAAATATGCATTAAAATAGTCTTGAATACTGTGTTTCATATTATTTTGATTAGGGTACTAGTCTAGTTTAAAGGCATGAAACTACAACGAATGCATCACCTTATCTTAAAGTTCTTACAATCTTTGTCATAAAATGGAATGATATCGATATATTTCAAATTTACCACAACAATTTCTACGAATTACATTCAAGTTAAATACGTGTACACGAAAAATATTTGAAATGTATCCATGCATTCTTACAACTGAAATATGCCACTAAACTTGATTAACTAATTGAATTAGTTAACAATTAACACTTTATTGTCTTATCATTCGTCACTATAGTAGAGTCGATAGCATATGATATTTCTAGTTCCTTTCTAGTTGTCACTAGTTCCTATATAGGGTGTTTTTTTTTAAACTTGCATCTTTATTTATGTAAAAACCGCAATAGATAGAAATATGCAGTTTGCGGGAATCATCTATTGACGTAGGGGGACCAATTGTTTTGAATTCAACGTTACATTCACATTCCCCCCCTTTCCCCCCTGCCCCCAACTTAATTTTTTTAAATAGCAAGGTGCCCCTTGTGACATATCAAATAAAAGAGCATGAGAAAAGAAAATGTTTGATGAAAAAAAATTGAAAATCGGTTCATAAATTTGTGAGATATTCCCCCCCTCACCCCCCCGGAACTTAATTGTTTTTTAATAGCAAAGTACCCCTTGTGACATATCAAATGAAAGAGCATGAAAAAAGAAAAATTTTGGTGAAATTTATTTTTCATTTGATATGTCACAAGGGCGGGTACCTTGCTATTAAAAAACAAGTTATGGGTAGGGAAAAGGGGGGTGATTATCTCACAAATTCATAAGCCGATTTTAATTTTTTTTTCACCAAAAATTTTCTTTTTTCATGCTCTTTTATTTGATATGTCACAAGGGGTACTTTGCTATTAAAAAAAATTAAGTTCCGGGGGGGTGAGGGGGGGAATATCTCACAAATTTATGAACCGATTTTCAATTTTTTTTTCATAAAAAATTTTCTTTTTTTATGCTCTTTTATTTGATATGTCACAAGGGGTACCTGGCTATTTAAAAAAAATTAAGTTGGGGGCAGGGGGGAAGGGGGGGAATGTGAATGTAACGTTGAATTCAAAACAATTGGTCCCCCTACGTCAATAGATGATTCCCGCAAACTGCATATTTCTATCTATTGCGGTTTTTACATAAATAAAGATGCAAGTTTTTAAAAAAACACCCTGTATACTATGTTTAGGTATCTTGGCGAATATACGAAAAAATCGTACAGGGAAAAAAGCGTACACCTCGAATCTCACGAAATAAGCGCACATGATCAAGTTTTGACAGATAAAGAGGGTATGCTATGACGTCAAGACATAGAAGGCGAAAAATGCGTACAACTTTTAGGATAAAGTTCTACATATTTTTAAAACCATTGAACAATATGAGTGTCTAAACTAAATATAAATGTCTCTAAGTTTCTCGGTGCAGGATATCCTTTAAAAATTTATTTATTTAGCCTGATTTCCATTACACTTTTCCTAGGCTGTGGACTGCCAAGATGATAGGGGGTAGCGGATTTTTATCCCCCTGGAATTTTACCCCCTGGGCAAACGTGACGTCACAAACCAGGGGGTAAAATTCCGGCCGCGAACTTTTGAGTTTCGCGACATCAGCTCGATGAATTAAACGCGGAATTAAACATATATTTTCACGGTTGTGAGTTTAATAAGAACACATCAAATTATAAAAACCTAGAATGTACGGCCCGGATTTTTACCCCCGGAATTTTACCCCCCGGATTTTTACCCCCGGAATTTTACCCCCGGAATTTTACCCCCCGGAATTTTACCCCCCCCCGGAATTTCACCTCCGGAATTTTACCCCCTGGCCAGATATATAAATTAGTGAGAATGATTAATTATCGTCATTCAGTTTTAATTTAATGGTAAACATTTTATTCTTAAGTAGCCTATCTTAATTTATATGTAACATTAACTAATCGAACAGGGTTTTAATATTAATTTTGATATTCGAGTGTCAGGGTTCGATCTTTGAAGCCAACTGTTGGTTAGTATGATCAAAATAAAACAGCGAATTCTGTTTACTTAGTTGAGATTACAAAATAAATAAATAAAGATGGGCTACTAAATAATGAAATGTTTAAAATTAATTAAAAACAGAAATAAGAAAATCAATCATTCAATTTCTAAAATCAGCCAGGGGGTAAAATTCCGGGGGGTAAAATTCCGGGGGTAAAATTCCGGGGGGGTAAAAATCCGGCCCGTACATCTTCAGTTGCCTAAACGCTAGTTAAATGGACAGGGGGTAAAATTCCGGTTTTTATCGCTAATCTAATTAATCACGCTCTGACTATTTTCATTAGACTTCCAAATCCGCGTGGGTAAAATTCCGGCCGCGAACAAACTTTTGGCCTCTCAGGTTACTACGTCATAGTGACGTCAGCTTTGCCCAGGGGGTAAAATTCCAGGGGGATAAAATTCCGGCGACCCGATGATAGAGGTATGTTGCACTATCATTTAGGCATGTTTAAAATCAGTGTGAAGGTTTTTTTTACTTTTCAAGTTATTTTAAATAATACCCTAGGCCTATATTGCCAATTGACCATATTTGATTTATTTGGTCTAATCTAATTAATTTCTAGACATAGGCAAGAGTCCTCAAACAACACATAGGGATCTCCAGTTTCTTGATATTTTTGTATGGTTTTTATTCTTTGCCCGGCCTCACGTCCTTTATTTCCTTCCATACTTAGCTCCAGTCTCAGTGCATACGAGTAGATTTTTTGGGAAGTTATGATTCCTATTTTACTAGTCAAGATTCCAAATAGTTTAGGGGTGGATGGCTGGGTGGTCATTTGTACGCATTTTCGCTGTACGTTTTTCCGTGCTACCATCTTGGCATAGAATTAAGGTATACAATTGTTACCTATTTGCGTATTTAATCAACAGTGCAATACTGTAACGTGATGTTTGACCACGAAGTTTTAGTACTCCTACCGTTTATATCGTTGCTCCTACCAAACAGTCCTACAATACAGATCCTCGGGATTATCAGTAGTTCTAGAATATTTTTGATTAGATAAGGTACAACAACCAAAGTCAAATAACGGAAAATTCATGCATATCAATTTATTTTATCGGTCTAACTCCAGATAAGCTATCGCTTTCGATATTGTTTTATATTGTTCACGAATCCGCATTCCTGGACGTTAGGAATAGACCTACAAATCACGATTGAATCATTATTACGAAATCCCATGCTAGCAAACATGTTTTAGGCAAGATTTCGCGAAAACCTCCGATTAAACAAATTTGTAATTTACAGTTAAGACAAGACCAGATTATTCACTCCTTTACCCTTAAAGTGCCATATAACTAAATATTGGTCCTCATTCGGCTATTTGGATGGTTAATTAAAGGAAGTAAAAAGGCATTAAATCCTGTACTTCCTACTTCCATGAACTATCAATCCACATGGACATCGCGACAATCTCAATTTTTGTAAATTATTGTATAAAATACTTAAAACTGCCACTTACATTTTTATCTATTGAAGACGCTCAATGCGTAAAACACCTTGAATGTTTTTATCGTATTCTTTACAAAGTAAGTAACTTGTAGAGTATTTTAAAACTTATCATGGGCCTATTACATTCTTATTTTTCCACCACAACCGAACCAATGGAATTAATTCTTGGGATGATTACTAATTTCTAAAACAAGATTTATAATAACTGCAAAACATTATTAGAAAAATAATGTCTATAATGATTTCTGCTAGGTTAAGCTTATTGATTGAAAGTGAATTCACAAATCAAAATAAACCATAAACGAGTTTTTGTTAGACGAAATTTTATCAAGTTGTCCCTTACATTGGTGATATTGTTTGAATGTTGTAATAAAACGTGTACAATATATTCTTTTAAAGATACAATAAAAATAATGGTACCATTCCATGTTTAACGTAATATATGGTACCATTTAAAACATAAATATGTCTATACCTAATATGGTTTTATCTATATACGTATATCCTAAGTAAGTAAGCATTACGAACCTGATCATTTAAATTGATTTCGTCCAGTGCATAGTGACGTTTATTTTCAATAATCTGGTTTGTTTGGAGTTTTGTTGGACACATATATTGGTTGCTGGAAACGTAAGTAAATCAGTTCTGAAATATACAAGTTCTATAATGCCAATGGATGTTACTTGTATATCGGATGCAGTTATAATAAAAAAAATTAACTCCTTACTAATTAGTTTTCTTTAGGGGTCTATGCATTTGAATTCTCGCGAGGTTTTGAAGTTTGCCTACTTAGACGTTCTACTGTATAACCCTTGTATAACTTACCTGTGCAAAGCTGTAGTTCGTTGTGCATAAGCCATTTGGGCTTGAGACGGCATTCCGGAGTGTTCCAAATGAACGACGGACTGTTGCACCGTCTCCATAGAGCAGGCCTAGCCTAGAGCTGCACTAGCCTACCATCGCAGCACCCGCGGCCGCGGGCATTGCCCGTCCCTCCTCACACATATTACTATTAATCGAATATATCACTGATATTTAGCGAACATCATATTCTGAACATAAATTAAACTGTGTCCTTATGCCACAATGGCAATTAGTTACTTTAACGTTATCATATTTAGTCCTTGGGCAAATAATCATGCCGGTGCATCTTGGATCTTTGGTTCCATTATACTACAAATGAACCTCCGCGGCAGTGATCGAACAGTTTCTTTTAAATGGGATCCACATCTGGAAAGGAAAATTACGTCATCAATCAACATTTCGTAGCCTTACATTTTTGACTGGCAATATGAATTGAACTTTAGCCTACAGGAAATTTTAACTCCTTCAGAAGGGGCTTTGACCTTATTCTATTGAAATAACTGACTCAAGGTGCAATACTATACCCAACGCAGCTAAATTAGCCTCCAAATTACACAGAAACTGGCGTAGGCCTGAATACGGTTTAAGTTATTTTGTTGTGCTAAAATGTAGTTTGGGAGACATTTGCTTGTAAATTATTAGTAGACACAACTCTAAGTCACTATAAGCATTTAAATGGTCTAGTTTACGAATCCAAAGAAAATATTTTGTTAAAGAATGCTCTTCACTTACATAAAATATAATACATTCTTTAAATCCAAGTTTTGATTAGTTCTAAGAAAAATCACATTGTTCCGTGTGACTCAATTAGAATCTTATATCCCTATGAACATATTTTATTCTCCTTTATGTTTTGAAATTTAGCTAACTGGACCTATATTAATAGCTTAGTCCTAACCGATTGAACGTCTGGTTTTTATTTCAGTACATCACGCACAATAATTAAAACCACCACGATTTTGTTAAACTTGGCTATATAATTAAGATAAAATTAGAGAATTTATATACCTAGCCTGTTCAATACAGTATTATGATGTAATTTAGCGAAGAGTAAGGACCCAATCGATAGGTCTAGTAATTTGTATAGGCCTAGCAGCCTAAGTTAGGCTAGGTATTTAAAACCAATGATTGAAATCAGATCAATCAGAGGCAAATTATTTGCCTTGTAATATGGAGGCTAATTTTCCTAGGGCTATTTTATAGCCTCATAAAAAAGAAAAAAACACGGTATTACGCACTTGGGCCGTTATAGGGTGCCCACTTTAGTCGTTTTAGGAGATATATTAATATGTCATCCAGCTAAGTATAAGATTCATAAGGCCTTCAGCAAAGTATACAAATTTTACAAAGTTTACACTAAGCATGAACTTTCATACTAGGCCTACGCATTATACGAATAAGGCCTACTTTTGTAGGTACACGTTTGTTATCCAGCAAAGATTTGTAAAGATTATGTTTTAAATTAACTTTATTATTGTAAGTTAAATGCAATTGTATATATTATTTTAACCAATCAATGTAAATATGTCTATACTTGGTTGGTTCAATAAACGAGTTAGGCCCTATTGAGTAAGCATAAAATCCTAGGCCTGGGTGCACGCTAGTAGCCTATAATATCTTTCCTGTATACAAAACTAGCCCTACTATTATAATTAGTTTTAGTTGCATATTAGTTAATGATAAGTTTTATAAAGGCTTATTTATTTTTAGAATTTTATTTACATGACTAACAGTCAAATTTAGGTCGTTGCACAATCACTTCACCACTTTCACACTGCACTTGAATCTTCACCACAAATATGTATATATTTTTTAAATTCCTTTATGAGCTAAAAATACACGTTGACTAAAAAAATGTTCCACTTTATAAGCTTGTTGACAATCGAGTCTATAAAACGGCCACTCCTTTGAATACGAAAGCTATTTTTAACGAAAATAAAATCTGGCGATGATAAAATTTCACTTCACTCGATTTAAAAAACGTACACTGAAAAGATTTTAAATTTCACGAATTTAGTCTTCTCCACTTCCACTTGCTCGCTAGCCACCAGAATAGGCCAACAGCTTGGGCGAGTCGATATAGCAAAGTGGAGGGGGGTGAGGTTGGAGGAGTGACATAGGAAAAAAGGAGGGGAAATAGCAGCCCTTTCTACTCCAGCTTCATGTTTCAAGGGTGGGTAGTGGGGGGGGGGCTTTAATACCGTTGGGCGAACCCCAAAGAAAAATATCTTGTTGAAAAAAGTAAAATAAAATAGGCTGGCAAAGCGACGTGGATGTACAGCTTTGAATAAAATTATATGACATCCCCGTTATTATATACATTATTTCATAAATATATTTTACTTTGGTTTCTTAAATAAATATCCTACACGATGAACGTCATTAGTAGATTGCTGAGCATAAACAAGCATCCCTCAAGTATTTCACATTCTGTATATACCATTCTGTAGTTCCATCTGCAACATTTTATGAAAACTTTTCCTCGACAGCAAATAATTATGCACATTGACACGGTCTGAAAAGTAAAATACGACAGTGTGTGTGTGTTTGTTAGTTATGGCATTCTCCTCATAGGAGTAGGAGTAAATAATATAGTCCCTGAAGCAGCCAGCGCGTCCTGGTAGAAATGAGCGGTACTATAGCGCAAAGCAGAACTCCGCTCCGTTGTAGGGTCAGTTCAAACCTCCAAACATAAACTGGCCTAGACTAGACTGAGACATGATATTTAAATATATATATATATATATATTAAATATATAAGAAAGAACTATTTCACTGTAATGATGAATCACAGACATGGGATTTATATTGTGGTTTTATCTAACATTTTTATTGGGATACATTTTCCTTGTTGAATATCACACACGTCTGGGCACGGGCTTCGGCATTGGCCGCCCTTCATCAGTCCTCAAACATACTTCTGTTACACAGTTCCGAAAGTTTGTAAAATGCCAAACACCTCCGAAGGCATTCATAATTTACATTTACATTGTAGGTCTGGCTAAAATACAACACTGATATTCAGGGATTGGAGTTTATATTATTTTTCACATGGGACGTGTGGCGCCAACGGATGGTGCGATGGTAGACTTGTGCTTCCAAACCTCCAAATTCAACTAAGTGCTTAAAAATCAACAAACAGCTACCCAAGCCCAAAGGTTACTGGGAGTGAAGGGTCAAGAAATTACCCTAAAGAAAATCATTAGTAAAGAATTTTTTCAGTAATCATTGTTTACCTGCAACCTATGAACAAGTAACATAATTTGGAAATAGACATTAGATCTAGAATAAATTGCATTAACACTTGTATATTTAAGAACTGTTAAATTAAGCAACCAGCAACCAATGTTGTTTCTAAATAAACCCAATCGGTGAAAATAACCGGCACCGCAAATTGAACTTAAAATCAATGATTTGGTTAATAATAATTACCGTATATAGAACAAGGTTACAGATAAAAAAAAACACTGTATAGGTAATTACTTATTTAATGTACATGTAATTGTTTAAAATACTCCGTATAACTTGCTTTAGTAGTCTAAAGTAGCCTACCTACATGAGGTTCATTAAACCTCATTCTAAACAAAGGCAACAATAACACAAACAACAAACAACAATAACAATAAACAATAATCGTTGCCAGGATATAAGACACAAGGGAACACAAAAAATGAGAAAGAAGCTCCCGATTCACGATGGCCGTGGCAAAGGTTCTCTCTCGCTCTCGGTTGTCGTAGTTCCGAATCCAATCACCACGAGCGCTGTTGACTCCAGTCGCAGTGTTTCCATATACGCGGGATTATTATCCCGAAAACGGGAGTTTTAGACAATGAGCGGGATTAAAACGGGATGCAACGGGGTTGTGGGATAAACGGGGATTGTTTTGGCTCTGACATATGTTTATTTAATTTAAGAGGAAAACTAACCCCACTTGATAAAAATACTGTAGAAAAATATAATAGCAATGTTTAAAAAACTTTATATAGCAAAGCAATAGCAGTATAGCAAGCATAGCACCAAAGCTCTTTTGACTCGTGATTCCCAGCAGCGAATTTTGGAAATTGAACTTGTCTCGTCTGCCGAAACAAAGGATTTATTTTGTTTTTGTGAATATTTTTATGACATTGTACCTACATGTGGTTCATTACACCCGATTTTAAACATAGGTAACAATAAAAATTGCCAGGATATAAGACACTATGGAACACATTGAACACAAAAAATTAGAAAGAAGTACACAAAGTCGAGAATTCAATAAATCGATAGCGCGACTACTCGAGTCAGTAGTCAGTACTCGAGTACTAGACTCGATTGTCGTTGTGATTGTGTTCTTACCTATTTATAGCTTTATATAGCAATAACAGTAACAGTAATAGTACTGTATGAGCATGGCTCCAAAGCTCTGTTGACTCGCGCTTCGCATCAGCGAATTCTGGATCTTGTCTCGAGTCTACCGATACAAAGGATTTATTTTGTTTTCGTGACATTTTTTGTAACGACAAACAACCTTACATAATTATAACAAAGGTTTTATTAAATGCTAAAAATAAAAAAAACTATGTGGTTAGGTCGTTACTGGGTGCAGTACTGCAGTAACGAAGATCCATTTTTATGAAATGTGTTTAACAATACAACCCAGTACCATTGTCCTACAGCAATAAATATATTATTATTTTTCAATATCCAAGTGACTAGCGTTATTTAAATGTAATTCACATTTTTTATAGATAAGGTAATATTTTGTAGATTTTAAATTGCAGTATCACATTTACAGACCATTGGACAATTAATTGTAGCCCTAACTTGGTGGTTATGAAATATACAAAGTTGCGAAATTTGATCAAAATGTCTACCTGAAAAAAGCTAAAACAGTTGATTTGTTATCCATAATAATAATATGGGAATTTTGAATTTCCCCATATTTGTAATAACATCACTGTACTATAAAACTGTGGTGCGGACAAGCCGATGGGTCTGCCTGAACCTCATTCGGTGGGTTTTCTCGCCCAGGCAAGGATGGGAATATTCTGCTTTTAGGATATTCGATACAAGGACAATAACCTGAAAGAAATGTGCCAAGAGCATACATGTAGTTAGCAGTTGTTTTGTAAAAACATTGTATATATATAATATATAATATTTAATATATATAATATATATTTATGTGTGTGTGTAATAAGTATGACTGTGATTAGGGCTACTACTATATAAATAATTGAAAACATTATAAAAACATTAGTACCCTTTTAAATTAATTTTTAATTAATAAACGACATGTTTCAACACTTAGGTCATAGTCATGTTTACATTTACAAATACAATAACAAAAATAATGAAAGGAATAAATAGTCATATGTTAAGTTAACTTAGAATTTAGAGGATCTTGATTTAATCTTTGCTTAATTTTGCGTATATTATATAATATTTCAGTTTTATTGCAACTGTAGGATTTTTTCAATTATCGGATTTGTTTTATTTATGTTCATGGTATTCAATAAATTTTGAGGGTATTTTTTGTAATTTGTGTATATATAAAAATCTTCTTTGACATTTAATTTTGTTTTATTTCTTTCATATTCTAGAATTTCTAAATTTTCATTTATATTTTTGTACTCATGTCGAGTTTTGATTAGGTGCTCTGCAAATTTTTAATTTCATTGTAGTTTTGTTACCTGATTTTAACGCTTGTATAAGTTCCTAGACCCTTTTCTTAAAGCTACGACTTGTTTGGCCAATGTAGGATTTGTTGCAGTCTGAACATTTAATTTGATAAATGCCTGATTTGTTTATATCTTTAACTTGGTTGTTATGTGCTTCATTAGAAATTTAGTTTTTTATCTAATTTTGCGTATATTATATAATATTTCAGTTTTATTGCAACTGTAGGATTTTTTCAATTATCGGATTTGTTTTATTTATGTTCATGGTATTCAATAAATTTTGAGGGTATTTTTTGTAATTTGTGTATACAGTGTGTAAATTAAGTATGGAAACAAATCTGTATTTTTAAAACCGAAATAGATAGAAATATTCTATTTGTGGCAATAATAGTTAACAAAGATTCCGCAATTTTTCACATGAAAAATATTTTTTACCCCCCTAACAGGGTAGGTGGTAGGGGGTGACTTATTTTTTTCAAATAGCAACCCCTATTGAGTGACCCCTCATTTTGAAGAGTTTGTCAAAAGAAACACAATGACGCAAATCCGAGGTGAATATCTCACTCCTAGCCCAAATGGCGGATATTCCAAAATTTGATTTATTGTACGTGAAAAGCACCAATTTCACAAATAATGGAAAGAAATCTGTATTTTTAAAACCGAAATAGATAGAAATATTCTGTTTGTGGAATTGATTGTTGACATAGGTTCCGCAATTTTTTTAATCAACAATATTTTTCAACCCCTTTAACAGGGTAGGGGGTGGGAGTGACTTATTTTTTTCAACAACAACCCCTATTGAGTGACCCCTCATTTTGAAGGGTTTGTTAAAAGAAAAAGAATGACGCAAACCCGAGGTAGATATTTCATCCCTAGCCTAAATGGTGGGTAATGAAAAATTTAATTTTTGTAAAAAAAAGCCCATTTTGGAATATCCGTCATGTTAGCTAGGAGTGAGATATTCACCTCGGATTTGCGTCATTGTGTTTCTTTTGACAAACCCTTCAAAATGAGGGGTCACTCAATAGGGGTTGCTATTTGAAAAAAATAAGTCACCCCCTACCACCTACCCTGTTAGGGGGGTAAAAAAATATTTTTCATGTGAAAAATTGCGGAATCTTTGTTAACTATTATTGCCACAAATAGAATATTTCTATCTATTTCGGTTTTAAAAATACAGATTTGTTTCCATACTTAATTTACACACTAAATATAAAAATCTTCTTTGACATTTAATTTTGTTTTATTTCTTTCATATTCTAGAATTTCTAAATTTTCATTTATATTTTTGTACTCATGTCGAGTTTTGATTAGGTGCTCTGCAAATTTTTAATTTCATTGTAGTTTTGTTACCTGATTTTAACGCTTGTATGTGTTCCTGGAACCTTTTCT